CACTTATAATGCGTCTTTTTCCTCCACAAAACCTGACCATTTTTCCCCATTGAAAAGAACCAAAACAAGTCTCCTAAAGCAACTGCCCTTTCCCAGTCTCCCTTCCAGCTACTATACAATCGGATTCCTTTCAAATAATGAATCTTTTCCTAGAGTCACTTCCCACTTCCATTTTCAAACTCAACTAATCTGCTTTTGTTCTACTCTCCATGGAAACTGCTCTGACTGTGAAGATCACCAATCTCTCCCCTTACTTGATCTCTCAAGCATTTTGATGTGTTCCTGAAACTCCCTTAAGTACTTGGGACTCTGGTCTGTTGTCAGTCTCCCTTAATGGCCCCTTGGTTTCCATCCACCTATTCACCCTTATCAAAGATCTGTCCTTGGTCGTCTCTTCCCGTGTTCGTTCCCTGGGTGGTCTCATTCACATCCAAAGCTTCTATTACAGCACATCCATTAATGACGACTGCACCTTCAACCCACATATCCAACTGCTACTGTTCACCTCTACCTGTACCCACAAACAGTCTAAACTCATTTCATATGCATATGAATCCTCTTTCATTCCCAAACTGCTGTTCTACCTCTATTAACTGTTTTGGTTAAAAAAAAAAAAAAAAAAAGCATTACCCACCAAGCCTTTCAAGTCTGGATATAGTGGTCTCTGCCCTTTTCCTTGTATTCCTCATCAAATCAGTACCCCAGCCCTGCCATTTGACATGACAATCTCAAATAACCTCTCCCCACAGTCACAGTCCAGACCCTCATCACTTCACATGACGTCCTTACTTATAATCCAGTGGCTCTCAAAGTGTGGTCCCCTTACCAGTAGCATTAGCATCATCAACTTATGAGAAATACAAATTCTTGGGCTGCCTCTGACCTACCAAGTCAGAAACTCTAAGGTGGGGTCCAGTAATCTGTGTTTTTTAAATTAAAGTTAGAGAACCACTGCTCTAGTTTGCTCTTCACTAAATATACTCCACCCACTTAACAGCCATCTTGCAAAAAACCAAATGTGATTGTTTATGCTCTGCTTAGAAGCCATTCGTGATATTTGGGATTAGAAGGTGAAATCTAAATTTCTTAGTACAGCACAAGAGGCCCACCAGGATCTAGTTCTGGTTACCAGTTTTCAGAAGGTAAAGCACAGCAAATCATCTTAGTAAGAATGCACTGTCGTGTAGTGTGATTAAGGGGATGAACTGTGGAATCCTACTGCCTGAGCTTTCAATCTCCACCTCAGCACTTTACAACTAGCTGTGACTTTGGATGAGTCCCTTAACCTCACTCACTATGCCTCAGTTTCATCATCTGTAAAATGAGCGTAATAATGACTTCCATATCACAAGGTTGTTGTGAAGTTAGCACAGTACCTGGTACTTAGTCTGGACTCAGTGATTATTAGCTACTACTCTTGTTTTGGTTATTTCAAAAGGAATAGAGCCAATCTAAAGTACAGCAAGAAGAGGAGGGGACTGGAATACCTGCCCAGACTAAGGGAAGTGGTCCCCATAAACGAGGCCCGTTTCTCTGGGCAGTTTCAGTTAGTCTAGATGTGAACAAAAATACCCCGATTCCCATGTAAGAGCTTGAGATCTCTAGGGTTACTTTGATTGGGGGGAGGTGGATCTGTAATGATTCCAGGATGTTATAGGAAAGGTAAACTCCTACCAGTGAGAGCCGGGAAAGCTAATTGTGAAGGAAACAGGAAAACTCACAGCAAAGCAGCAAAAACAGGGCTAGTAATTTTTTTCTTTGATAACAGTTAATAGAGTCCTAGTGGGCTCTATTTTCAGAAATGTTGGTTACTTTTTTTTAAAAGATTTATTTATTTTTAGGGGGGGGGGGAGAGCGAGAGATAGCGAGCATGGGGGGAGGGGTAGAAGGAGACAGAGTCTTAAGCAGACTCTGTGCTGAGCGCAGAGCCCGATGGGGAGCTCGATTTCATGACCCTGAGATCACAACCTGAGCCAAAACCAAGAGTGAGGCACTTAACCCACTGAGCCACCCAGGAGCCCCCAGATATCTTTGTTACTTAACAGCAGAGGCATTAAGTAATGATGGGAATCCAATTCTAACCACCAAAAATTAATTATAATTTTGGGCAAATCACTTCTCTCCTGCCTCAATTTAATAATTTGTAATATCAGCTATGTTATGGAGATCACTACATATATACTTATATATTTATTGCTTAGTACAGTGTCTAGTATGTGGGAAGCACTCAAATTATGGCAACTATTACTGTTGGAAGTATATTATCTTTAATACAAATTAACAGAAATAGGCACCTCTGGAGATTCCTGTCTGACCAAAGCAATTGTGTATTATCATCTAATACTTCAACTAATATTGGGTTATAATTTATAAAACTGAGGGATATTGTAAAGACAGATCCCAAAACAGTGTTTCTATCACTTAGGGTTTATCAATTTTCACTTCAAATATGTTCGAGATTAATTCTATTCAAATGTTTACTTAGTGTCTACTAGGTGCTAGCAGGACATTAGGCTGGGTGGGGGCTGGGGTGGGTGTGGTGGGACAACTAAGATGAATAAGGCATGGTTCCCGTCCCCAAAGAGAATATAAGCTTAAGAAGAGAAAGGCAAAATCCAAATAAAACATGATTAAATGCTGTATACGAGCAAAAAAAAAAAACAACACTGTAGAGATTAAAAGTCTTTACCAAGTTGACTAATTTTTCAAAACTTCTGGACTTCTCAGTTTCTCCTCTATCTTCCTCTGTTATTCTCCATCTATTTTTATGTATCCATCTTTAGTTATAGTAGGGAGTCAGTATGTATAAAAACCAGTAACAGCCACCCACTGTAACAGAAGGTAGCAGCCATTTTTTTTGTTTCTCTGTTATATTCTCAGTGCATAGCAAAAAGTGGAGCATCTTCCTCCCCTTGTCTTACAAGGTGGCTCATTCTTGTGCTTCAGCTCTTAGTTCAGATGTCACCTACCCAGAGAGCCTTTCTCTGAGCACCCAGTCTATAAAGTTTCTTCCCTCTCCCACTCCCATTATTCCCTAATACATCCCACCATTACCTTCAAAGCCCTACTGTTGTAGTGAATGCTGTGATGGGCCACCTTGGTCCCCTTTAAGAATGAAAGGCTTATTTCCCCAGTCTTGGGACTGCTGAGACAGCCCTCAGTTGTCAGTCCCCTTCCAGGACTGACCTGGCTGAAAACAGCAGAGGTCACACCGTCTTTTCAGGACAACAGGCTTCCAACGACTGCCCATGTATAAAGGCCTGGCTCTTCCCTCCAACGTGGGACACCTCTGAAGGGACAAACCAACACCAGAGTTCCCTTGGGACTGCACTGCAGCTTAACTTTTTCTATCTGCCAATTCCTGCTTCTTTTATTCCTTGGTAAGATCCAAAAGAGTCCTTGCTAATAAATGTCCTGCCCACAAATCTCCTCCTTAAGAGTCTGCTACCCAGGGAATCCAACCTAGGATAATCTGGAAACATCTTGTTCATTATCAGTGTACTTGTTTATTGTTTGTTCTCCCATCACTAGAATATAAGCTCCATGTGGTCAGGGACTATATCTGTCTTGGTCACTGCTGTATCTGCTAACTCAGCACAGTGTCACAAATATATATATGAATATAAATATAAATTGACAAGGTTAGTGAATGACTGAAACTGCCAGAATTGAGAGTCTCTGTAACGGCAACAGTATTTGGGTATGGTCCTATTCGGGGAAAAGATGAGTATGACCCAGGAGGTTTTCATCTCAAAAGGATTTCCATTCCCATAACGTCAAAAGTCCTGTGAGTCCTGCTTCTGCTTTCACACGGTGGGCACTAACCATGCTGTACAACAGTTCTGACGTCCAGTTCCACGTCAGAATGTGGCCCTCACCCCCCAGACAGACACAGGCATACAGTGCCCTCTCCCTGCGGAAGAGTGACCGACGAATCACAGGTTCCAGCTAGCAGGTGGCAGCGCAGGTGCAATCGGTGCTTTCACTGTAACACCTTTTCCATCTCCTCCACGGTGTGGCCGCGCAGGTGGGAGAGGGAGGAGGGTCTACACCTGGAACTGTACCCACACTACTGGAAAACCTCCTAGTCATCCACATTCCTTCCCTTAGCAAGCATTTACTGCCTATGGCTACGTTAAGGGTAGGTCTTTAGTTTTCCAAGGAGCCAGACTCCTCCTTGTCCCCGCCCCCAAATATCCTTCAACGAAGACACCAGTGACCTTCCTGAGAGGGGGCAGGGGGCACCAACAAGCCCACCTCCCTTCTCTTCGGCCAGGCAGAAAGCAGGTTTTCCCACCTGAGGTTCTAGCGCTCTCACCTGCCCACCAGCCGCTGAGTCTCCCTAGGCCGCCGCCACCAGCTAGCCCCATAGGCCGAGCCACATGCAGCCGCCGCAGCCGGTCCTGCCAACCTGCGCTCGAACCTTGGAGACAGAGCATGCGCAGCGCTGTGGTTGGCGCCAGCGCTCCTGATAATCCGCTTTTCCGGGTTTTAGCGAGGTTCTCAGTCCAGAAAGCCTTTGCCAGAGACCGGGAAGAGCCGGGGGCGGAGCTTATTCAGCGTCAGTCTCAGCAAATGAGTAGAAACTAAAGAATTTAAATAGTATCAAATGGACGTGTTAGGGCACAGTATCTGCCTTATGGCGCGCGCTTAAGAGCTATTATTGAATGAATGACAAGGTAGTCAACGGTTCCCCGCAGCACTCTGGCCTCCCAGATTTGACCAATCACAAGGCGCCTGATTTGTTGTTTGGCGCCAGTTCCCCGCCCTCTTTTACGCCTGCCTCCAAAACCAGGAAAAAAGGAATGGCTCATAACTACGTCCCTGGATCGGGTTGGAAAGTGGACATGCTCAGTGAGAGCTGGTCCTGGTCCCTTTCAGAGAGCTTTTGCCCACAGCCTTTCCGATGGGGGCATTTGGGAAGGTCGGGAGTCCTCCAACTCTTTAGCTTCACAAAGTGGGTAATTTTGGCACTATCTACCCATCCTACTTCTTAGTTTGAGGACAAAACTTTTATTTTTCTGTAGCATTCGAAAGAATTATAAAGGAAGTTATGTGTATCGCTATTTCAAAGTTTGTCCAGCATTGTGAAAGCCACCTTTGCTTTCCGACCTTTTTTATACCTGATTCTTGGCGCTAGTAATTTTCCGGTATCAAGGTGCTCTGAACCACAGAAACGTTGGGTTTTAGTTTTCTTTTCTCTCGATCGCCTCCACCGTCTAGCACTATGGGTAACCGTGATTCGTTACCTGCCAATCATATTCACGGCGTTCCTAGCGACTGAATAGCCGCTTTGGTCGCCATTTTTGTTTTGGGCCCTCCTTGAAAAATGGGCGGAGGCCATTTTTCTTTGGGGTAGATTCCTTGCGCTATCCCGGCCCTTCACTCAGTGTTTCCCCGCCATCTTAAGTCCTGGTTTTGGCTTCAAGCCGACGGTGAGGCCGCTCAGATCGTCTTGTGTTTGGGCTGCGGCAGCGTTTTCCCCACGCACGGGGAGACCCTGGGAAAGGGGAAGTAAGGCCGAAGCTTGAATCCCCAAAGCGTCTGAAGGTGGGCTTGAGAGCCTGCTCCCTGTTTAGTGTGAGTTTCCTCAGCCAAGTACTACTCCACCAGTGACCCTGGACAGTAACAAAACTAATAAAAGCCCGAACCCAAACCCTGCCACCATCATAGGTAAGAACGTGGAACTCCTGACAACCTAAGATGTTCCTTCACTTGAACTGAACTATTTGCCCATCTCCTCTCCCACCCCCCGTGGGTTTTTTCTTTTGTTTTTTTAGCCTTTTCTGAATTCTTTTCCCTGTGCTTCCACCTTTTTTCATTGTTTTCAAAGTGCTAAAGAGTTGTTAACATAAGCCTGCGGGAAATGGCATAAAAGTGGAAAGTATTGGTCTGGAGAATTTTTTGCATTTGGGGGGAAAATGGAGCACAATGAATGGGCCAGGTATTTGTATCAAACTGTGGCTGCCCACAACCATTTATACACAGTCTTTTCTCAGACATTTTTAGGTCATAACGTAAGTATGGATTGTGTTTGTATATACTGCCCGTTCACTCATTTATTCATTGCATTTTTATTTATTTATTTTTAAAGATTTTGTTTATTTGACAGAGGGAGACACAGCGAGAGAGGGAACACAAGCAAGGGGAGTGGGAGAGGGAGAAGCAGGCTTCCTGCTGAGCAGGGAGCAAGGTGAGGGGCTCAATCCCAGACCCCCTCCCCCCCCCGCCCCCCGCCCAATCATGGCCTGAGCCAAGGCAAGAGGCTTAACCGACTGGGCCACCCAGTCGCCCCTATTCATTGCATTTATTGAGTACCTAATGTATGCTAGGCCATAAGGATTCTGCAGTAAACCAAAACAAAAAAAAAACCCCTTTCAGTCTTGGAGTTTACATTCTATCTGACCTCAACAGCTACTAGGTTGGGGCAAGTAACAATATTCTGTGGTTCTTAGCACTGTTGGACTATGACAAGTATCCCTTTGCTTCTTTCTTGATCTCCTCACCTTCCTTTTTTTTTTTTTTCCTGTACTAGGAAGAAGTTGTATTGACACTTATTTCTTGGGTCCTAGATGCCACCATATTTGTAGGCCAGGTGGCTAATTTTATGACCAATATTCAAGTTACTTAGGGTTGCTCAGTGCTGTCTACTGACCAGCATCACCTGGAAGCTTCTTAGAAACTTTAGTCTCAGATCCCATCTCAAGATCCACTGAGGGGCGCCTGAGTGTCTCAGTTGTTAAGCTTCTGCCTTCGGCTCCGGTCATGATCCCAGGGTCCTGGGATCAAGCCCCACATCCGGCTCCCTGCTCAGCGGGAAGCCTGCTTCTCCCTCTCCCACTCCCCCTGCTTGTGTTCCCTCTCTCGCTGTGTCTCTCTCTGTCAAATAAATAAATAAAATCTTTAAAAAAAAAAAAGGTCCACTGAATCAGAATCTTTTCTAGGGAGTGCACCTTAAAATTCAAGGGGCATTAATTCAGGACATGAACTAAAGATACAGAATGCCTCTTTTCAACCTGTGTTTCTTAAACAGTTCACAATATATTGTCAGTTTATTCCATGTTTTACACGCGGTGGGCATATGACATGTTTTCCTGGGCTTTTATTTTTTTTAGAGAGAGTGGGAGGGAGGGGCCAAGGGAGAGATTGATCCCCAAGTCGGGCTCCACTGCTATGGAGCCCGACTTGGGGCTCAATCTCTGGAGCCTGAGATCATGACCTGAGCCGAAACCGAGAGTCTGATGCTTAACTGACTGAGCCACCCAGGCGCCCCTTTCTTGTGCTTTTTATCCATCAACTTGATGTCAAGAAAACCATTTAGTGTTCTAAAAAATGGAGAATTTGTCAGTCTGGTATATTATTATGTAACTGTTGTCACGGCAACACCTGTGTGCATATTTTTCCTCTGTGCATATTTTTACTTTTAATTTATTACAAGTTGAATTCAAAAGCCTGCATGTGTTCAACAGTTCAGTATTGACTTGGAAAACCTTGGGCCATGCTTTACCAAAGTTTTTTGTGGCATCTAGCTCTCTTCTGTCTTCCTCTAGTGAGAAATCTAATCATTTAAAAAAAAAGATTCCTGGCTGGTACCTGCCGAGTTTTAGACCCTGTGGATGGAATTTAGGAACCAGTAAGGTGTTTGAGAGAACAGCAAATTACTTTTATGTTTTTCACATGCTGTGTTTAGATTTTTTAAATCCCAGACGGATTTACTTAAAATAATTAGGAATTTGAAAGCATTGGAGAGAATTGGACTGGAAATGTAGTGAACTAGCTTCCCAGGAACCAGTCAGCTTGCCATTTATTTATTCTGTGCTCAGTAAGTTGTCCAGCTTTTCTTGTTGTCCTTTTTCACCTAGCAATTTGGAAAAGAATGAAGGTTGTGTTGTTTTTTTATTTAGCCTCATGTGAGTTTTTCAAAATGCAGCAAATACTGAAGTTTTGTGTAAGTATAATATGTATTGCTTTTGATCTTCACATATTGTATCTTATATTGTGTGTGCCAGTAGAACACAGTGGGTAAGGAAATAAACTTCAGAGCCATATTCCCTGGGTTCAGATCCTAGCTCCTCCAGGTACTAGCTGTGTGACCTTGAATGGATTACTTAACTCTCTGTGCTTCCATTTTTTCATCTGTAAAATAGGGTTGATAAGAGGGTTAAATAAGTTAATAAAAGAAAAGTGCTTAAAACAATGCCTGGCGCGTGATCACACCTATGTACATATTAATCATTGTTTTTAGTTATTATAATTAAATCTTTGGGTTATTAAAGTTTTGTTCATTCATGAAAATCACTAAGGGAAAAGGTATTACAGTTCCATGACTTTAGGACATGTACCGGTTGGGACGAGAGGCAGGTGGTCTAAATGTACTAGGAAGACAGATTTTTTTTTAAAAATGGTCTTTTTCTTTTTAAATAGCCTTATTGAGGAATATAGACATATCTTGCTTTATTGTGCTTTGCAGATACTGTTTTTTTTTTTTTTTTTTACATATTGAAGGTTTAGGGCAACCCTGCGCTGAGCAAGTCTTTTGGTGCCATTTTTCTAACAGCATTTGCTTGCTTCATGTCTCTGTGTTATATTTTGGTAATTCTCACAGTATTTCAAACTTTTTCATTATATTTGTTATGGTGCTCTGTGATCATTGATTTCAGCTTGCTGAAAGCTCAGGTGAAGGTTAACACTTTTTAGCAATAAGGTTTTTTTAATTAAGGTATATACATTGTTTTTTTTTATACATAATGCTGGGCCACATTTAATAGACTATATGGTAAAACTTAAACATCATTTTTTTTTTAAGGAATATAAAACTTTATTGACCACTGTTTACTAGTATTTACAATAAACAGTATACAGATGGATAATATTCTGACTACAAAGTTACTGTTTTTCCTGGTTCTGCTGAACCAGTAACTCAAATACTGAGAAGATTGAGACTACATGTCAGGAATAAGCTGGGGTAGGGACGCCTGGGTGGCTCAGTGGTTAAGCATCTGCCCTGGGCTCAGGTCATGATCCTGCAGTCCTCGGATCGGGCCCCACATCAGGCTCCCTGCTCAGCAGAGGAGTCTGCTTCTCCCTCTCCCTCTGCCCCTTCCCCGGCTGTGCCCGCCCTCTCTCTCTCACTCTCTCTTTCAAATAAATAAATAAAATCTAAAAAAAAAAAAAAAAAGGAATAAGTTGGGATAAAGAAAAAACATGCAGGCCAAGAATTCAGATTATAGAAGTCTGTCCACCCGTTTATTCTAGCAGGTGCTAAATTGCCGGTATCTCTACCCATCTGATTATGATTAGGTTTCCACGAACAAAGTCTTAGCTATTCCATGAATCATGACCTTTTAGGCAGTGCAGCACAGGGATTTCAACTTCTTGAAAAGGAATGGTTCACTAGAAGGAACCTTTCAATGTCCATTTAAGTTTTGCTTACCTAATGTCTAGTTTTGTCATTTGAGTGGGGAGGTTGTTGGTGGCGATAAAATTTTCCTTTCAGGGATCTTGCAAATAAACTTGCATTTATATGACTATAGATATGGATATGTATTCTGATGTGGCTTATTTTAAATTGCCCAATTTAAATTGTTTACATAATATTTTAATTGTCCAATTAATTACAAAATGTGAAAGGTTAGGGCTTCAGGAAAAATTTCAATTTAATTTTAAATTATTTCTTTTTTTAAAATTTTTTTATTTTTAAAGATTTTATTTATTTACTTAGCACAGAGGGAGAGGGAGAAGCAGATCTCCCACTGATCAGGGAGCCCGACGCAGGGCTCAATCCCAGGATCATGACCTGAGCCCAAGGCAAACGCTTACCTGACTGAGCCACCCAGGCACCCTTTAAGTGTTTTATTTCTTAAGTTACTGAAAATGATAGTATCCCAGAAACACAGGTTTATCCATGGTTATAAAATGCTTCCCATTCACTACATGTCGGTCCAGTACTTTTTCCACCACAAATTCTTCAGACTCTGCCTCTTCTACTTTTTTACTTTTTTCATTCTCTTTCCCATTTTTTGCAATGTAGTAGTCTTATTTGAGGCCATTTTTTTTATTGCAGACTTGCATAGCTATTATTTACCCCTCTGAGCTGCTCCAGGTCCCTGGTCTTAAACATGACTTTTATATGCACTGGAGAACCAAAAATTCATGTGATTCACTTCATTGTGATAATTACTTTATTGTGGTGGTGTGGAGCTGAACCAGGAATATCACCATGTTATGTCTGTAACTGTCGTATAGTAAGCTGCACATATTTAAAGTGTGTAGTTTGATGTGCTTGACATATATACGGGTAAAACCATCACCACAATCAAGGTACGTTCCCCCAAATGAACGTATCTGTATCCCCCAAATTTCCTTTTGCTGTTTTATAATCCCTCTTCCTGCTCTCTTCCAGGCAACCACTCATTTGCTCTCTGTCATGATAGATGTCACTGTAGATAAGTTTGCATTTCCTAGCTTATCTAAAAAGAACCTTACAGTACATGCTGTTTTTTGGTCGGAGTCCTGAGAGTCTGGTTTCTTTTCATGATTGAGAGCCTTCTTTGTTGGAAGTATCAATAGTCATTTTTTTTAATAGCTAGGTAGTATTCTCTTGCTAGATGTCCTGTAATTTGTTTATACATGCACTGGTTGAAGGACTCTGAGGTTGTTCTTATTTTCACAGTACTCCTTTTCACTGCTTTGTTCTTCAGCTTATTTAATTGGGAAAAAAGTCCAATTATTTGGTGTCCATGCCTTCTATGTACACGGAAACCAGGAGTTGACAGTGGTAAAATGGGTATGTATTGGGATTTTTTTTACCTTTGCCTTTGTTAGTTTATGGATTAATGTTTTCTGAGTGAAACATGTTATGGCTTTTTAAAAATGCAAAACGCATTCATTGACTTTTTAGTGGGCTGTAGCTCTTGATGTATACATGCCTAGTCATTTTGAGCTGTGTTAAATCTTTAAAGCCTACTATTTGTATATTACTTTTTGGAGATTGAAAACAATAATGGATGCACACTAAGAAACCTACCCATCAGGCAACAAAGTAGAGATCTAAATGGAGAGTACTGCTCATTTAATGTTGGTGTAGGTACATTTCTAAAGTCTTGGCTTCTCTTATAGAAAAGCAGTGCCTCCTGGTTATTATGGTATTGACATTTTGTGCTTGAATATGTGAGAACTGGTAACTAAAATTGGATTTGACTTATGTTAGTTATAGGATAATATATAGAATATTGGTGTTATAATATTTTTTTTTTTTAAAGATTTTATTTATTTATTTGAGACAGAGAGAATGAGAGAGAGAGAGCACATGAGAGGGGGGAGGATCAGAGGGAGAAGCAGGCTCCCTGCCGAGCAGGGAGCCCGATGCGGGACTCGATCCAGGGACTCCAGGATCATGACCTGAGCCGAAGGCAGTCGCTCAACCAACTGAGCCACCCAGGAGCCCCGGTGTTATAATATCTTAAGACATTTAAGTTCATGTGTGTCACTGTGTTGGTTCTCTAGTTAGAAAAGTTTGGATTTTTTTGTTTTGCAATTAAAAAATTATTTTAAAATTTGCATATGCTAAAATTCATTCTTTTTGGTATATGCTTTCATGAATTTTGACCAGTGCACTGAGTTTTGTAACCACGGTGTCAGTCAGAATGCAGGACAAGTTCCCCCCACCCCCTGCCAAAATTCCTTCCTGCTGCTCCCTTAGTACTAACAGTTTCCCATCCCCGGCTTAGCAACCAAAGATCTGCACTCCATCTCTGTAGTTTTCATGAAAGTTGAAAGGATTAGATTTCAAGACAATTATGTTAATAATTATCAGAAGGTTTTTTTTGTACTGTGAAGGTGACTGGAAGACCGTTATCAGAGTGGGGCTTGAGGCTTGCAGTACGAAGTGAGTTGATTAGGTGCTCTTTTTGCCCTGCAATGTTGATAATGATTATGGTTAACAGAGACCAAGGAACTGATGTAGGAAAGATGTTAGAGATCGAAGCCAATGGCCAAGATAGAATTCTTGAGACGTCTTTGGTGCAAAAAGGTGACTATTACAGCACGGGGACAGGACCTGTGGGCAGAAGAGCTGCACTGGTGTCATGAGGAGTGGCCTCATTATATACTTTCAAGTTGGGAGGGGGTTAGGGATAGTGTAAGCCTCTCAGGTATTTTGGAAGCAAGGTTTTCAGGATCCTGAGGGGGCTAGCTATTGTTAGGTAAAGGTCATTTATTACTGTTTAGTAAAAACTCAGTCATGAGACCCTTCAGATGTATATCAGTGGGTCATATGCTTGGGACTGCCAACGTGTGTATCTTGGGGCGTAGAGATAAAGGAAATTTCCAAAGGATTTTTTATATGTTAAAGGAGACTTACAGGGTCCTGAGACCTTATAAGGTCCCCCAATTAAGATTGCCAAAGTGGCAACATCAAGGCAGTTGCGTCTCTAGAGAAATGTCACTCTGCCTGTTTCAAGGACTTGTCAATGGCTGTAAGTATAAGGAAATTTAATAATTGTTCCTCTGCCTTTGTTTCCCACATCACCACCACTGATGTCTCAGCAAGTCTACCAAGTATTACCTATCAGATCTTAACTAGTTCTCACAGGACCTCTAGATAGACACTCATTATTATCCCACTTCATAGATAAGAAAATGGGAGACTTAGAGGAATTGAATAGCTTGTCTGAGACCACTTGAAGAGGCACGATTTGAACACATGTCTGTTTTACTAGAACCTGAAGGCTGTGACTGCCCCTGAGCAGGTGCCTGTATCTGTTTCTGACAAAGTATTAAATAAAAATTAGACTTTGCCTATTAGTGAAGCATCGCATGCCAGGATCAGTGAGGATTTTCTGTGTGCATAGCAGGAAGTGAGGGGCCCAGATCTTGGGCCAATTGGCTGGATTAAGGGCGTAGAGTGACTGAAAGGTAGGACCATTCCATGGAATTATTTTTGGTAGAGGATTTCAGTATTTGACCTACATTTGAAGACAAAAGGAAAAAAAGCCCTAATGTTTTTGTCACTTGCATTATCCTCCTTCCACTATTGGAGCTTCCCTGTTTGTTTTTTGTCTTGTTTTGTTTTCCTTTTTTACAAGCTGATTTTGGCATTCAAAATTACCATAGGAAGAATAGGAAAAGCTGATTCTTTCTTACAATGACAGTGCCTTCTTAAACTTTATCTAAGTTGTCAACAGCAAGATCTTTGCTCATTTGCTAGTTTTCCTTGGTATTTTTGTTAAAATTTGTGATTCCTTCTTTGATACTGATTTTTGGTTTTTGTGGGGTTTTTTTGTTAGATTGGGGCAGGGAATGAAATGATTTCTCATTCTTGAATTATGGTTGTTCCTTTAGGAGTCTTAGGGTCTTTATTGTTTTCTGTTTCTGCTCCCATAGTTAGCATAAGTTTTTTTTTTTTTTAAGATGAAAAAGGAAGTATAATAATTTTCTTGATAAAGTTTGAAATCCAGCGATTAGAAACCTAAAGTTAATTTCTAGCCTTCGTAATCTGGAGTAGTTGCTTTGGCTTATGACACAGGCCAGCAAATCTAAAAGGAAGACAAATGTGAACTTCAGAATGTCTTGGATTTTCCCACAGAATAATCTAGAAGGTCACTGACTTTCTTTATTAGCATTTATCTCTGCTTTGTATTTAAATGACAGGACAATCATGTGATAATGTTTAATCTACTTCCATTCCCTCCCAAAATTAATTTTCTTAAGGATCTTAGGATCTTTCCGTCTCTATGAAAGACATTAATGCACACATATTTTTGGTGGGGTCATACTCTATCAAAGTCTCCTCTTTGTGAAAAGAATGACTGTTTTCAGGCCAGAGAAAGTGCGCTCAAGAATGCAGAATAGAGGATGAGATGTTATTTGTAAGATTTATAATACACTTTAACTTCCCAGGCTACTTATGTAAATTATATGTTTCAGATATTTGGAAAATTGATCTTTTTGGAGATTGTCCTGAACTTCTTAAAATCAGGCAGTAAACTAAAAATTCTGCTGAACTTAGACTTCAGCTGGAAGCTCTGACAACAAGACTTTTTGCCCCCCAAAGATTTAATTAATTAATTTTTTTTTGAGAGAGAGAGCGAGCGAGAGACAACGAGGTGGGGGACGGAGAGGGAGAAGCAGGCTCCTCACTGAGCAGGGAGCCTGATGTGGGGCTCCATCCTAGGACCCTGGGATCATGACCTCTGAGCTGAAGCCAGATGCTTAACCAACTGAGCCACCCAGGTGCCCCTGATAGCAAGACTTTTTTTTTTTTTTTTTAAAGATTTTATTTATTTATTTGAGAGAGAGAATGAGAGAGAGAGAGCACATGAGAGGGGGGAGGGTCAGAGGGAGAAGCAGACCCCCTGCTGAGCAAGGAGCCCGATATGGGACTCGATCCGGGGACTCCAGGATCATGACCTGAGCCGAAGGCAGTCGCTTAACCAACTGAGCCACCCAGGCGCCCAGCAAGACTTTTTAACATAACACTTTAAATCCTGGACACTAAGCTTATTGTTCCCTCTTGAAAGCAACTTTAGGCCTAGGAAAATAGTTTTTTATAAGATGCATACTTGCTTTGTGTGTGTATGTGTGCATGTTCATGATGATCAGTAAAGCAAGTCTAGAAAAACTTAAGGATGTGCCCAGATTTAAAATTGAACGAATACAGAGGCTGATATCTTTTCCATTCAAATGAATGTTAGAATGTCTGTATTTTAAAAATAAAAAAAATTATGCAGTGAAAAACTCACATTTATGGCCTACACTTCAACAGTACCTCTGATCTGTTGCCCATTATTTTCAAGAGGAAACACTTTGATCTTCTGTTTACAAGTTTATGTGTATTACACCTCATTCAACTTAGGCTGCATGATACATTTAACTTAAGTGTTATTTATATATTGAAATAGGTCCAAAGTGCTTTGACCTCTTTTTAAGAAAGCTTAATGTGGAATTTGAAATTTGGGGACAGTAAGGACTTATTAGATAAATAGGTATAAATCTAAAAAACAGAAGTCTGTAGCCCCTTATTTAGTACCATCAACAGGCACAAATCAGCAAACTTTTTTTTTTTTTTTTTTTAAGATTTTATTTATTTATCTGACAGAGGGAGAGTACAAGCAGGGGGAGTGGCAGGGAGAGGGAGAAGCAGGCTCCCGCTGAGCAGAGAGCCTGACGTGGGGCTCAATCCCAGGACGCTGGGATCATGAGCCGAAGGCAGATGCTTAACTGACTAAACCACCCAGGTGCCCCAAGTCAGCAAACCTGTGCCATGCACCAGGTGTCAAAGAAGACAGGGATGGACCTTGTCCTCAAGACACATATAGTCAGAGGAGAGAGACTGAGGGCTGAAGTTACCTGTAATTCGCTGAGCTAAGCATGGGAGTAGTGATGGTGTGAGGTGCCCATGTGGCCCAGAGAAGAGAGTGATTCAGTCTGGAGATTTATAGAGGCCTCCAAGCAGCAGGTGGTGCCTGAGATGGGTTTCGGAGGATAGCTCCCCTTAAGAAGGAGAGGACATTCTCTAGGACTGCCTGTATGGGTGATGGTGGGGAGAGCTGGAGCTGCATGTTCAAGGACAGATGGTGGAGGTGGCTGTGTGGGGGTCACTGAAGCTGCCGAGTTGCCTGAGCCGGGAGATGGAGGTGTGGGCGGAGGGCGTGTGAAGTGTGGGAGATCCCAGCCAACAGTTCTGATTGGAGGACTCCTGCTCAGTTACCTCCAGTTATGGCTTTGGGGATAGAGAAGTGCAAAGATGGAAACAGGAGGTACTTTAAAAGGCTCTGGTTGTGGGGAGCTGCAGGATAACCAGCTCTTTGGGGTCTGGGACTTTTGGCATCTCTAAGTAATGATTTTTCCTTCTCGTGGGAGGCAGATGGGTCTGTCTTTGACTTTCATCTGTTCGGTCCCAGGTGATGGGCTGTGTGCCTGAAGTAAGACAAGAGAGCAGAGTGTGTGCTTTCCCCAGATTCCCTGGTAAGTGGTCTTTCTGTATTTAGACTTCATGCTTCTCAGCTTTTAAGAAAGAATAGTGAGAGACATTCCCGTCACCTCCCCAAGGGAGGTAAGAGTTATGATTGGTTGTTGTGCAGTGGTTGTAAAGGCATAAATAATAGAAGGGATCAGGAAATTCTTCCAACTGCACTCCCCACCACCTTACCAGATCTGCAGACTTGGCTAGGAGACAGGGGCATCTTGCTCTGGGTACCGCCTCTGCCTATTTTTCTATTGGATTGTTTAATTTTGGACTGTCGTCCTTTGCTGGTTATATGTCTTATAAATTTCTTCTCCCAGTTTGTCAACCCCCCCCCATTTCTTTATGGTGTATTTTGATGAACAGAAGTTTTAATTTTTGTAAGCCTTTTATTTTGAAATAGAGATTCACCAGAAGTTGGCAAAAAAGGGGGGGGTGGTCCTGTGTACCTTTCACTCAGTTCCCCCCCCCAATTAGTAGTATCTTGCATGCTTATAGAGCAACTATTAAAGCCAGAGAATTGACATTGGTACAATACATAGAGTTTATTACATTTAAGCAGTTTTACATGTATTTATTTAGTCCTGTGCCATTTTATCACATGTGTTTGTTCATGAAACCAACACCAACCACAATCAGGGTACGGAACTCCACTGCCATAGGCTCCTTCCTGCTATCTGTTTACATAAAGCCACATACCCCTCCCCCATTCTTAATCCACGGCAACCTTAATCTGTTATGCACTTCTATCATTTTGTTATTTCAAGAATGTTATATAAGTGGAATCGTGCATTGTATAACCTTTTAAGATTGGCTTTTTTCATTCAGCATAATTCCCTTGAGATCCCTCCAAGCTGTTACCTGTATCAACAGTTCATTCCTTTTTTTGCTGAGTAATACCCTATGGTATAGATATACCACCGTCTGTTTAACCATTCACCCATTGAAGGACATCTGGGTTGTTTCCAGTTTTGGGCTATTATGAATAAAGTTTGCCGTGAACATTTGTATGCAGATTTTTACGTGAGCCTAGGTTTTCATTTCTCTGGGATAAACTCCCAAGAGTGAAATTTTTGAGTCATATGTTAAGTGCATACTTAGTTTTATAAGAAATCTACCTCTCTTCCATTGTGACTGTATCACGTTTACAGTGCCACTGGCAAAGAGAAATCTATTTTCCCTGCGTCTTCATCAACATTTGGTGTTACCACTATTTTTTATTTGCCATTCTGGTAGATATGTAGTGATATCTCACTGGAGTTTTATTCGTATTTCTCTGATGGCTCATGATATTGAGCATCTTTTCATGTGCTTGTTTATCATCTTTGGCGAGATGTCTGTTCATGTCTTTCACCCATTTTCTGACTGGATTGTATTTTTTTATTGGTGGGTTTTGAGAGTTCTTTATATGTTCTAGTTATAAGACTTTTGTTGGGTATGTGAATTGCAGATATTTTCATCCAGTCTGTAGGGAAGTTTTCATTTTAATATGGCCAAATCTACCATTCTTTTTCTTTATGGTTTGCACTTTTTGTGTCCAGTTAAAAAACTCCTCCTTTACCCTGAGTTCTTGAAAACATTCTCTAAGAGGTTCTGTTTTTTTTACATTTTAGTTTTTAGCCCATCTGTAATTGACTTTTGTGTGTTGTGTGAAATAGTGCTCCAATTTCATCTTTTTCCAAATGGATAAACAGTTGTTCAACCACAGTTTGTTGAATGAATAATCTCTTCATTTCCCACTGATCGGCAGTGCTGCTTCTGTCATCTATGCCCATAAGTGCGGAGGTTTGTTTTCTAGTCTGTGTGGTCTGTCCCCTTGGACTGTTTACCCCTTTGCCAGTACATATTATTTTATTTACTGTAGCATTGTAGTTTTGCTATATCTGGTAAGACAACCCCCCTCCTTTGTTTTTCTTCTCTTCTCCTTTACAAGTATCTTAGTCCTCTTTGCTCTCAGATTCCCTGTTCAGGATTGTGCTAAGAATTACATTAAGTTACTGGGTGTTATACGCAAACAATGAATCATGGAACACTACATCAAAAACCAATGATGTAATGTATGGTGATTAACATAACATAATAAAATTAAAAAAAAAAAGAATTGTATTAAGTTAGAAGAGCAATTTGAGGAGGTCTTCCACATTTCCTGTTAAATTTGTTCTTAGGGACGCCTGGGTGGCTCAGTTGGTTAAGTGTCTGCCTTCATTCAGCTCAGGTCATGATCCCAGGGTCCTGGGATGGAGTTCTGCATCGGGCTCCTTGCCTAGCAGGGAGCCTGCTTTCTTCCTCTGTCTGCCGCTCCCCCTGCTTGTGCTCTCACTCTCTGACAACTAAATAAAATCTTTTAAAAAGATAAATTTATTCCTAGATATTTTATATTTGCCAATGCTAGTTTAAAAGATATTTTAAAATCGACATTTTCTACCTGTTTCAGAGAAATTGCTTTTAATGGTTTGTCATGAAGCATGTTTGCTACATTTTTTGTAGATGCTTTTTTATGATTAAGAAATTTCTTTTTTTTAAGTTTGTTTATATATTTATTTATTTTTAATAATATAGTAATCTCTACACCCATTGTGGGGCTTGAACTCATGACCCCAAGATCAAGAGTTGCATGCTTTTCTGACTAAACCAGCCAGGTGCTCCACAATTAAGAAATTTCTTTTCTCAGATTTCTAATGTTCTTTATTTTTTTCCTACCTCTATTAAAATGACCATGTCTTTTTTTTCCTACTTTAATTTTTTAGTATGGTGATTTTTCTAGTGTTAAACCAAGCTTGCACTCCTCTGATAAACCTCACTTGGTTCTGGTGTATTTTTTAAATGTTGTTAGATTCAGATTGCTTCTATTTGTTTAGGTTTCTTGCCTATATGTTCATGTATAGAATTGGCTGTGATTTTCCTTTCCTGTACTGCCCTTGTCTGGTTTTGCTATCAGGGCTTCATATAATGAGTTGTTGGGGGCTGGGCAGGGTTCCCTCTTTTCTGGGGGGATTTGTAAACTGGTATTATTTGTTCCTTGAACTGCCATTGGATTTTGGATCACAAATATTTAGAAATAGAAGAAACTTAAGAGTCCACCTCTGTAACATCCTAGTCCTACTGACGCAGAAAGAATTAAATGCTGAGGCTCAAATCCAGAGGGCATGGTTCTTTGTACCATGACTCAGCCATTTCATCATTTCAGAAACCCTAAAGTTAAGGTAACATCCATTTTATTACCTTTACACTGAAGTCCATGCAAATCCATGTAAGAGAGGCTTGGAAAATACCCCATTAACCCGACACACTTGGTCTCTTAGGTTGCTAGCCTTATCTGATTAGGTTGCAGAACCTAGCGGGGAAAGGGAGCCTTGGAAGACAGGCACCCTGACAGCTCAAGGAAAGCCTAGGAGAGCTGGCGGGAACCGCACTGGTTCCACTGTTGAGTAGCAGCTCCAAGGGGCATTAATCTGTATATTGCCCAGTGGGATGATGGGTGATCACTTTCTTCTGAATATCAAAGAAATATTCACCATGTGGTATTTTTTATGAAAGTCGTAAAGATTCAATATGCTTTTTGGAAAATTTCCCTAAAAACAGCAAAAATAAAATGGTTGGGTGCTCCCCTGCTCCTGTTATCTGGAATATTTCTATATCCAGCAGACATTTCTTGAGCAGCCTCTAGGGTCAAACAGTGCTCTTAGGGCTGTTCACCTTTGAGAACCTGTTCCTACCAGGATGGATAAGAGTGCTTTTACCATATTTGGGAATTAGCAAACTGCTTCAGTTCACCAGTTAGTTCATTTCTAGCGCTTGTCCCTAATGATGTAAGGAAGCAAAAGAAATGTATCTTCCTTATCTAGAATGACTTCAGCAGATTTGCAGGCTCAAGGTCTGTCCAGTTGGCTATCTAGATGTGTTTTGGGCTTTATGTTGGTGGGCTTTATTTTTTGTTTATGAAGATGTGTGCCATGTCACATAGCACAATGGTATATTAAATTCATTCAGACTACATTTCCTCAGCTGTGGACCTCCTTCCTCTTCCATTAGCAGGAGAGAACCACCCATCACTCATGTAGCTTTATTTGAAATCTAACTCTGTTGGGATCTTGTGCCTTCGTGGTGGGAATGTGTGTTGAGGGGGGCGGAATGTGGAGGGAGGGAGGGTACACATACCTTGACAGTCCAGTTAACAATCGACCTTGGCAGTTCTGCAGTTGACAGATGGTCTTAGTTTGCCCTCAGCTGAGTTGACAAGACTCTTCTCTCGCCCTTGACTCTCAGCTGTGAGACCCTGACCTGGTCTGACAAGTATACTCTTTAGGGGAATAGAGGGCAGGATTCAGAGTAGATAGTTTGTGAGTTCTCTCTTAGCCCTAAAGTTTTGACTTTTTGAGCCTCCAAACACAAATGAAAAAATGATATACATTGAGAGGCAGAATGCCACATGATATTAAAATGGATTAAAAATTAGCAAAATGTAAAAATATCAAATAGGCAGAGGGAATTAAGAAAAAATATATGTGCAAAATGTATAATACAGTTCCTTTTCCCATGTGGCCTATTTTTACATTAGGGGACCATATTATATAAAAATACATACTATTTGGTCCTAGATTCCTACAGATCATATTTTTGAGATTGGGCTTTGATGATACTTTTTGAAGAATCCAGTCCTTAAAAAATGCAGCTACTCTTGCTTTACTGATAGAAGTAAAAAGAAAAAAAAAAGTGAGTACTTGAAGAAAGAATATTGGAACCTTATTGTGAGTTGAAAAATGTAACCTTCACTGTAATATGGCCCATAATCTAATGCAGATATGACCTGAAAGCCTTGCTGCAGCCTCCAGTGTGGTCCACCTGTCCTTCGGGAAAGGAAGGACATGTGGGAAAACCAGTGTACAATTAAAAAATAATTTGATCACATGCTTCAGCTTGGTTGGGTACTTGCTGACAAAACTCTCTCTCCCTTTTCTCTATCAGCTGAAGCACTTAAGCACCCTCCAGTGAGGGATTCCCTAACTTCTTGGCAGAAGTTATTCAAACCTAATTTAGTAAATTTAAGGGGACCAATTTTGTGTTTATCAAGCTCAAATAACATAAAGATCTACCTAGTTTTCAGGACAACCTTTACAAATGTTGTTTTCAAACACATGTTCCTGATTCTCTAGGAGCTTATTTTTTCCATTTACACCTATTTCTGAATGGGGTTACTAGGTGAATGACCTTCAGAATTTTTCTAAATCATATGCACTACATCATTCAGAGAATAGAAATGAATAATTAAAGTGATTTGGGGTTTGGATAAAGATGTTTTTGTCCATTAAAAAAAAAATAGAATCGGGTGCCTGGGTGGCTCAGTTGGTTAAGTGTCTGACTTTGCTTGGGTCAGGATCCCAGCCGTTGTGAGACCAGGCCCCTTGTAGGGCTCTGCACTCAGCAGGGAGTCTGCTTCTCCCTCTCTCTGTGCCCCTCCCCCCGCTCATGCTCTTTCTCAAATAAATAAAATCTTAAAAAAAATAGAATCAAAGGTTATCACATTTTGAAAAAAAAACATCCGATTTTAAATCATCACCATTGACTAAGTAGTTGTTAACATTCCTCAAGGGCCTACTGTTTTATACAAGTTTCATCAGGGGTTTTCATATATCATTTTATTTAATCCTTTTGATAATTTTGAGTTAGGTATTACTATCCCTGTTTTTTAAATTAGTAATCTAGGACACAGAAATAAGTGTTTTTCTTGTAATGAAACCAAGTACGCTGAAACCGCACTGTCCATTATGGTAGCCACTGACCACAGGTGTCGAACACTTGACATGTGGCCAGTCCAAATTAAGATGTGCTGGAAACCGAAAATAACACACCTGATGCACCTGACTTCAAAGACTAAGGTTAAACACTAAGAATGTAAATACTTTTATAGTGATTACATGCTGAAATGATAATATGTTGGATTTATTAGGTTAAATAAAAATATTATTAAAATGAATTTCCTCTGTTTCGGTTTATGTTTTTATTAACTGCAACTGCTAGAAAATTGAAAACTACATCTCTGGCTTGCATTCTGTTTCTCTTGTACCGTGCTGCTCTAACATCCGTACACACATTGGAACGGGCAGATAGTTCCGTGTACGAGGCTTATGAGTTATGGCCTCCTTTTCACCTCATTCCTTCCTCCAGAGCAGCTCTCTTCACCTTGCTCTTCATGGTGGAGCCAAGTTTAGCATTTAACAGTTGGTTCCATATCACTAAATTACTTGCTGTATTTCTGCTTAACTATTAATCAGTTGCGGTGGTGGTTGTTACTGTTTTATATTGATTTTAGGCTTTGCTTCTGAAACATCCCCTTAGCATTCAAGGGAGCTCTCGCTCAGTTTAACCTCTATGCCCCTGCTGTGTAATATGCACATACACATATATTCCCCATCCTCGTAATTTTGCTGTAAACGTAACATTGCTTAGGTCAAGATTCAGTGTTTGTTATCATAACTACACATGCTAGCCGTAACTGAGCTGTGTATGAAGTACTCTCTTTATTTTTGGCACAACTTTTATTTATCCTAGGATCAATAATTGCCTAGCTTTCCATGTTCCTGTCCTAATTCAATCTCAGATTCTCCACCAGTTGTCTAAAGTGAGTTTTGCATGCTCGCAGATGCTTTTGAGGATGCATCTCCTGGAGACGTTGAAACTGCTGTAGCCCCCACTCATGGTTCTCTCCTGGTCTAGCCCATGATCTCATGCAGGGATCTGCTTTCACCAGATCCTAGGATTTCCTCTGCCTTTTGCCTGTCTTGGCCTTCCTCTTTCCTGTATCTTCCTCTTTCTTGGTTAATTTCCTCATTTTGGTGAAGCACATCTTCAGTTAAGCTTCCTGAGAAAGGATGCATGGGACTTAAATTTTTTAAGACCTTGCATGTCTAAAAATGTCCCCTCCCCGTCATGTTTAAATGCAATTGGAGGTTGGAAACAATTTTCTTTAGAATTTTGAAGATACTTCTCTATTGTCTTTTAGTCTCCGGAGTTGCTTTGAGCCATTTGGAGCCAAACATTCACTGACCACCCCTTCCACCCACCTCCCACCCTCTTTTTAAAGATTTTTTTTTTTAATCTCCAATGCCTGATGTTTTACAGTGATATATGCCCTAATATGAGATGTTTCCATCCTAACTTTCATGTATGGGTCCTTTAATTTTTAATTAAATTTAATTTAATTGTACGGTCCTTTAATTTTTAATTTATTCTCTCTTATTTTTCATCTTTTTTATTTTTGCTGAAGTTTCTGAATGACTTCCTGAACTTGGTCCTCCAGCACTTCTGGTACGTTTTTTTATTTCAGCTATCACTTTAATTTGTTGTTTTCTGAAAGTTCCTTATTTTTTGTTATTGTATTTATTGCTTTATGGTTGCAATATCTCCTATCTCCCTGATAATAATGATTCTTAAAAAATGGTTTCCTGCTCCCTGCATAGTCTCAGTTTTGGCCAAGTAGATTCTTTCCTGTTTGTTTTGTTTTCTTTCATGATAGAGTCTTTCCTTAGATGGCAGGTGATTCCTGGTTGTTTACTTGTATTTGAGAGTGGGGTATTAAAAAGATGGAAGGCAGTTCTCCATGCAGATGTGGGGCTTGTGGGTGTTTGCTTCACTTTAGAACCATCCATCTAGGCTGTTTCCTTGGGGAATCCCTGATGTCAGTACTTCTAGATCCTACCTTTTAGGTTAGTCCAGTCCCTGAATGGTTTCAGTCTCATATTTGGAGAGGCTAGGCAGTGTAGAGGGGTGTATTAGACAAGGTTCTCCAGAGACCCAGAACCAATAGAAGGTATATATAATTATTATAGGAATAAGCTCATGCAATTATAGAGACTGAGAAGTTCCATGATCTGCTGTCTGCCAGCTGGAGAACAAGGAAAGCCCGTGTGTAATTCATTCTCAGTCCAAAGCCTGCGAACCAGGAGTGCTTAAGTCTGAGGGCAGGAGAATATGGGTGTCCCAACTCAGAGATTGCGAATTCACCCTTCCTGCACCTTTTGTTCTGTTTGGGCCCTCAGCAGATTGAATGATAACCACCCACACTGGGGAGGGCCATTGGCTTTACTGAGTGCACCAATTCAAATCATGATTTCTTCCAGAAATACCCTCACAGATATGCCCAGAAATAATATCTTATTAGTTGTCTGGGCATCCCTTAGCTCAGATAAGTTGACACATAAAATTAACCATCATAAGGGACATGCGGGTTGGGGAAGATATCAATCAGTTTGTAAATGTTCCCTTAATTTTCTCTTTTTTCAGTAGGGTATCCCCTACTTTATGCTGTGCCTGGTGTTTTCCAGACCAGAGATCCTCTGTCTTACTCTCTCCAAAAAATAATTCTCTACGTTTCTGCAAGGGTGAGAGAGGGCAGTTGACCTGGCTGAGCATAGTAAAGGGGAGTAGACTCTTGAATGATACAGGTTTGAACTGTGTGGGTCTACTTATACATGGATTTTTTTTTTTTTTTCGATAAATACAATATGGTCCTGGGGTGCCTAGGTGGCTCAGTCGGTTAAGCATCTGCCTTCGGCTCAGGTCATGATCCCGGGGTCCTGGGATCAAGCCCCACATCGGGCTCCCTGCTCAGCAGGGAAGCCCGCTTCTCCCTCTCCCTCTGCCTGCCGCTCCCCCCTGCTTGTGCTATCTCTCTCTCGCTATCAAATAAATAAAATCTTTAAAAAAAAAAGTACTATAAATGTCTCATGATTTTTGGGGGGCAGAGGCAGAGGGAGAACAAGAATCTTAAGCAGCTCCATGCCCAGCATGGAGCCCAACGTAGGGCTCAACCTCACAACCCTGAGATCATGACCTGAGCCAGAGCCAAGAGTCGGACACTTAACCATCTGAGCCACCCAGGCGCCCCAATGGTATTAACTCTTTAAACATCTGATAGAATGCATCTGAGCCTATGCTTTCCTTTGTTGATGGTTTTTAAGTTGCTAATTCAATATTATATATATATTTCAATAATTTATATATATAAAAAAGTAGGCTCCACTCCCACCGAGCAGCCCA